CAAGTAGACACATGCCCTGGAGAGAACAATCATGGGAGAAGGAAGGGCTGCTTATGCACAGGGAGACAGCTCAGGGGGCAGGAGAGTATGGAGACATGGACACTGGGAAGTGGTAACTATGGGAGGAAGTGGGAGGGGAGCTGTTGCATTGTGGTAAACTGTGGTCAATGACATGAGACAAAGTATACGTGAACTGCTGCACAGAAAGTGAATTTGCTCTGTAAATCTTCACCCACATCACAATAAAAAAATAAATAAATAAGTGCTGGGCTTAATTTAACCATTTCCTATAGACTGAGTCACAACATGAGCACGAAGTATTGTACTGCACAGCAGTACTGCTGCACTTTGATCTCACGTTTTCTCCCCTCTGCTGGCTGACATTTATTGATGCCATTGGTGCATGTCCTTGATGTTTCTGATGCCTTGTTGAGAACCTGAGGGTAGTCTATAGGTTCTCTACATAAAAGGCCTGAGCTTTGTGACATCTGGCCACTGAAGTCATTTGCCTCCATGGTTGGCTTTCAAATGACTGAAGTTACCATAAGAAAATGACAGCAAAATAGGCTGACACTGTGAAGGGAGTTATAAAGAGCTCTAAATCCAGGTATCTGTTTGTATGGTGCACAGTTCTACTTGTGATACACATGGGGTTGCCATGAGTTGGAGTCAACTCCACAACTACTGGCAGTACAAGGGAGTAGAAAAATACCTTCCCTTAGAGGGCAGCACTGACTAATTTGTAAAACTGTCTCCACTCTTTTTCCCCTAGGAATTTGAATCAACCTGCTCATTCTAGCTTTTTCTTTACTTTATATGACATTCTTCCTTCCTAAATGATCTAACAGAATACCCTATATATCACTACCTGCTCATGTGAGGCAGAGTGAAAACAGGGGGAAAAAATAGCAGTTTTATCCAATTATATATGGTGATATGTTAAGACAGATGAACTAAGGACATGACTGTATTATATGGAAATGATTTGTGCTTAGTTTATTTAGATATATATCTAAGTATATATAAGTGAAACTATGTGTCTGAGTTTATGTATATAGGTGTTATTCAGAAGCAGTCAGAATAACGATAAAATTTTGTCTGATTATTAATAAGACTAACACAACAGGACTTCTGAAAAGCACTGGCAATTCTCAAGATCATCAGAAATATCTATAAACCCCATTATACATAAACTACTACAGGATTATCTCAAGTTTGTTCTCCCCATATATAAACTGAATGAATCACAAAATTAATTCTCCAACTTTTATTTTTCACTCTGCTAATTAAGCATTAGTAACAGATCATCCAAAAAAACAAGCTCATTGCCATTGAGTCAATTCAACTCATAGTGACCCCTCCTTGGGTGTCCAAGGCAGTATCTCCACGGAAGTAGATTGTCCAATCTTCCTTCCAAGAAGTGGCTAGTGGGTTTGAACCACCAGACGTCTGGTTAGCAGTCAAATGCCTTAGGATCATAGGAGGGGAAAAAAGCTCTGCCTAAGTAACCCAATGACCTGCTTTTCTATACCAAATATATTCTTGTGACTCAAGTTTTAGAGAAACTATTCTAAGACATAAAAGATTAGTTGCTCAAATAATAGATGACACAATCTTCTTGGCAACAACAGTCTCACTGCTCTAAATTAATTTTATCAGGAAAAAGAAAAAATGTGAGGTAGCACTGAGTAACCAATAAAAATTTATAACTCTCAATTTTTCGTATTAGGTATGAGAGGAAACAAAAAAGACATTTAAAAGATTACCTCTATTAATCTAACTTGGCTCTAATACATTACAAATTACTACTTCACTTCTGCTAGATGGTACAGACAAATGATTTAGAGTATTGATTTAGAGAAAACAATAGAAAAGGTTAGAAAGTAGGCAAGAACAAAGTATCTCTGCAGAACAGAAAAAAAGCTATCCTATAAAATACATATCACGTTTTTCCACATACAGCCCAAAGTTACTCAGTTAACTTATCTCCAATATCCTGCAGCTAAGGATGTGTACCATATTTTTATGCAGATAACACACTCATTATACGTTTGTTGCAAAGCATGCAGCCCCCACACACATTAGTGTCCTATATGCTTTATATGTGGGTACATTTTATTTATACGGATGCATCCTATGTGAAAATTATGGTAATAGACAGCTGAACTAAAATTATTCAAGATGACAACTTTCTGCAGGAAATGGCCACTATATATTAGCAAAATAAATACTAGCAGCTTAAGAAATTATGAGTTAAAGGATGTATTCTTGACTGTTTTGGTCTTGGACCAAACGATTCTGTTTCCCTAGCTATGAAGTATAAGTGAACTGGAACACTGTGAAAATGTATTGCTAATAAAAAGTTTCTAATCTTCAGGTAAATATTATACAAAAAATAAGTACTATACCTTGTTTTAATTCCAAACCTTCAGGTTGCTTGTTCTCCCTCATGGATGAAGTAGAATCTATACAGATGTCTTGTCTAAGGAATGAAAATAAATAAAAACAGTTTTGAAACTACATCAAAAGACATTTACTGTCCTGGTTCCTAGAATTGTTAGGCATTTGGAAAGACATTCCAAATTCTTTTAAGGCTCCACAGTAGCATTTACTGAACTCTGGAAAAGCAGCAACATGTATACAAGTGTCAGAAGCAGCAGCTACACCTACTACCAATTTAAGTCATGTACTTCTCTATAAAATCAAAAGGTAACCTGGAAAAAATATAAGGTACTTTTTTCTCCCTTCTAATACTCTGCAGGGTAGCTAACGGTAAAAATCACAACTCACAGCAGTATCCAATAATTTTTCAAGTTCAACTGTTAAATTTAATAGGCACTTTTGCATTCAATTATTTTATATTCATCTAATTTCATACCTCAAATACTTTGATGTCTACAGTCTGCAAGAAATGCATATTTTATATGTAATATATATAAGAAATCAAAATAAATGAATTAAGTGTAAGATCATACAAAAAAAAGTTTTCATTCATCATGTTCTGCAACAGAGCTGCATACTAAACTAATATTCTATCTTAGAGAATGTTATACCATCTTAATATTAATGTTATAAATACTTTTCAGGTAAAAAGTCATGTTATCAATGAATTTCAACTATTCAAGTGAGAAAAGTGACTATTTTCTATTAGTTTCCTGGTACCTAACCTTCTAAATAGTTCTATACATATCCTAAAACTAATCCACTAGAAATATTTAGGAAATTATTCTACTCACAATACTATTTCCATCTAGTTAATGGTAGCAAATGACTCAAAAGAAGAAAAAAAGATTTGTGATCATTTATTTAGAAGTTTACCATATGCTTTCCAGTCAACATAGTGGCACTTACATGTTTATTGTGTACTAAAATTTACTAATTTACCATGAACTCAAACACAGACTGCAAAGTAATTTGAACTTGGTATTAATTGTGACATCTGAGAAATTTTATTATGATGTCTCAGTTATTATTTATTTCTAATGTCACCTACTCTTTTATTCTTTCACCAGAATCACTGATTGGCAGATCCCAAGGAGGATATCAACAATGCTCCTTGAAAATCCAGGGACAGATTAAATGCCAGTATACTACATTAAGAGCTTTGCAAGGAATAAAGTTAAAATATTCCTCCTCGTTCCTTGCAGTCAAATTAGATTTCAACTATTGGGACCATTAATCTATTCCTAATTATCTTCCCTTATTAAAAAATGTTTGCACTTACACATCCTGGAAAAGCATTTAATTCTTCTTCTAAACATATACATGTAAATGTACAAAGAAATTACTTCAACAAAAATATAATGTAACATCACCAACTAAAAGAATACTGCTATCTTTAGGGAAAAACAAGGTAATATTCATGGGTAAAATGTCACAATGTATGTTCCCACTGCCATCAAGTCAATTCTGATTCATAGTGACCCTATATGACAGAGTAGGCTGACTGCCCCACAGGGTTCCAAGCCTATAAACCTTTACTGAAGTGGACTGCCTCATCTTTCTCCCCTAAGCAGCTGATGGAATCAAACAGCTGAATTTTAGGTTAGCAGCTGAGTGCTTTAACCACTGTGCCACCAGAGCTGTTATGATGTATGTTCCAAAAAAAAAAAAACACCAAACTCACTGCCATCGAGTCGATTTCAACTCACAGCAACCTCTCCTTGGGTTTCCAAAGCAGTATCACTATTGAAGTAGATTGCCTAAAATGTTTCAGGAAAAATACACACACACACACACACACATAAAGAGTATGCACATGTCATAAAATGTTAATAGGTAAATCTAGATAAAGGGTATATGAGTGGGTTTTCTCCCTACTGTTCTTATTCTTGAAAGTTTCTAATGAGTAAATTATTTCCAAATAAAATTTTTTAAATTAATTATAATACAATAATACGCTATAAAAACCCCTTGCAGATCCTTTTTATAAAATTAAAGATTATATGCTGTCAGAAATAATTTCTTTTAGTGCCCAATATGAACTTATGTAACCATTCTATTTATTTTATCTCAAGTTGGGTTTGATCAGGCAGTTAAAAAAGTCACCAAAAACAATTTCAGAGAGTAGATGTAGGACACCACCCTGTGGCTGAAAAGTGAAAAGCTAGATGTTTTCATATCAGTATTATCTGAAGTTAAAAAAAAAATCCCAGAAATAGTTTAAAATTTTACGGTCTATACAAGCTATTTTTTCCAAGATCTAAACTTTAAAATGATCACACGGGTTCACAGTTCTTTGACACAATTTAGAGATCTTCATTAAATGGCATGAAAGGTGTTAAAAAAAAAAAAAGGGGGAAATGTTCCAACTTTAAGAAAACTACAGCATTCAGCATTCACATGATACATTTTTATTTCTAGTTTTATGAAAATAAAAAAAGCTACCCCCTGAAAATAAAGCAAACTAGGCTTCAGAGCTAGAAAAACTAAATAAATTAAAACTATATTCAAATGACATTTAAATATTTTCATCTACATTATAAAATTATGCAAGAATTTTTAAACAACTGAGGAAAGAGGAGAGAAGGACACAGGCAAATGGACATAGTCAGAGATAGAGGTAGAGAGAGAGAGAAAGCATACTGTGCCAAAGCTGCTTTAAGAATCTTTTAATGAACTTTGTGCTCCTTTATGAAGGAAAAAAAGAAACTTATTTTGATTTTCTAATTTCATTTCCCATATGCAGTGCTCCTCCTCCTTTAATTTTCAAGGTTGGCCTTGAATTATAACAGAGCCCTGTATCTATCCTTGGGATTTAGGGTTTCAGAACAGCATCAATCCAACTCTCCTTCATTTTCCCCAAATACAGTTAATTATCCACTCCCAATCCTTTGTTACAGAAGTGCAAGAGAATTAGAATAAATGTGTGTTGTTTAAAACCACTAAGTTTGTGTGAACATGTTAAAACAATAGCACACTAACATAATTATTAATTTTATTAATTAACAAACTTATTTAACTTTTTCAGAAAAATTGGAGGATATAAAAATAAAGTCAATTTGTTCCTATGGGATACTATTCTGGAAATGACAAACTGAATAGGAACAGTGTCTCAACCATTGTCAAAAAGAACATTTCAACATCTACTCTAAAACAAAGAATTCTCAGTGATAGGATAGTATCCATATCTCTACAATGAAGACTAATTAATATGACTATTATTAAATATATACACCAACCACTTATGTTGAAGATAAAGAAACCGACAATTGTTATCAATTTCTGCAGTCTGAAACTGATAAAACATCCAGTCAAGACACATTGATAATTACTGGTAACTGGAATGAGAAAACCAAAAACAAAGAATTGACAGTTGGAAAATAAGGCACTGGTGAAAGAAACAATGTGGGAGACTGCATGATAGCTTTTGCAACAACAACAATTTATTCACTGCAAATACCCTCTTTTCAACAACATAAATGACGACTCTAAACATGGACCTCGTCAGATGAAATACACAGGAATCGAATACATCTGTGGAAAGAGATGATGGAGAAGCTCAGTATCATCAGTCAGAATAAGGCTAGGGACCAACCGTGGAAAAGACCATCAGTTCCTCTTATGCAAATTCAAGTTGAAGCTGAAGACAATTGAAGTCAATCCATGAGATGGAATAACAGAGAATGTACAACCCTGAGTACATCCCAAATGAATTCAGAGACCATCTAAAGAATAGATTTACATATTGAATACTAATAACTAAAGACAAGAGGAGCTGTGGGATGACATCAAAGACATCATACATGAAAAAAGCAAAAAGACAGGAAAGAAAGAAAAGACCAAAATGAATATGAAAAGAGACTCTGAAATTGCTCTTGAATGTAGAGTAGCTAAAGCAAATGGAAAAAGTAATGATGAAGTAAAAAGAGCTGAACAGAAGATTTCAAAGGGCAGCTAGAGAAGACAAAGCAAAGTATTGAAATGTGAAAAGATCTGGAATTAGGAAACTAAAAGGGAAGAACATGTTTAGCATTTCTCAAGCTGAAAGAACTGAAGAAAATATTCAAGCTTTGAGTTGCAATAATGAAAAATTCTACGGGCCTAGTATTGAATGCTCGGAAGGAAGGTTGGGCAATCCTACTTCAGCAGTGATACTGCCTCGGAAACCCAAGGAGGGGTCGCTATGAGTCGGGGCCGACTCGACGGCACATAACAACAACAACAACAGTATTGAATGATGAAGGAAACATCAAAAGAAGATAGAAAGAATACAGAGTTACTGCACCAAAAAGGACTGGCTGACTATCAACCATTTCAGGAGGTAGCATATGATCAAATGCCAATGGTACTGGAAGGAAGAAGTGCAAGCTGCACTGTATGCATTGGCAAAAAAAAAAAAAGTTCTAGGAATGGACAGAATAACAATTGAGATGTTTCAACAAACAATGAAATGCTGGAAGTGCTCACTCATCTATGCCAAAAAATATGGAAGACAGGTACCTGGCTAACTGACTGGAAGAGATCCAAATTTGTGTCCATTCCAAAGAAAGGTGATCAACAGAATGAGGAAATTATCAAACAATGCCATTAATATCACACGTAAGGAAAATTTTGCTGCAGATAATTAAAAAATGTTTGCAGCAGTATATTAACACAGAACTACCAGAAATTCAAGCCAGATTCAGAATAAGATGTAGAATGAAGGTTAACATTGCTGGTGTCCGACAGATCTTGGCTCAAAGCAGACAATACAACAATGATTTTTACCTGTGCTTACTGAATATGCAAAAGCATCTGACTGCATAGATCATAACAAGTTATGGACAACACTGCAAAGAATGGAAATTCCAGAACACTTAACTGTTGTGCAGAACCTGTACATAAACCAAGAGGCAGTCATTCAAACAGAACAAGGAGATACTGTGTGGTTTAAAATCAGGAAAGGTGTGTGTTAGGGTTGTACCCTTTCACTATACTTACTCAGTTTCTATGCTGAGCAAATAACCCAGCAGATGGAATACATGAAGAAGAATACAGCAT